CAATTATGTAGTCGATCACCCCGTGAATGTTGTTGTCCCCCTTCCCGTTCCCAAACGAAAACCTGGTAGACCGAAGAAGATTGTTGGATCCATATCTGCCCAATCCGGTATGTTTTACGTTAATAAAGCATTATATTTGTTTTTTGTAGCTCATTTGTTGCAATTTAATATCTTTTATTAAAATTTAAATTTTGTAGAATACTGGGACATGGGTGATGCTAGCTGTAAATGTATTTATTGCGGAGCACTGTTTTGGTATGTTGAGCGAAAGTCTTCTAAAAAGGCAACAACTCTTCCTGAATATAAGGGTTGTTGTATGAACGGGGCGATACAATTGCCTGTACTGCATAATCCACCTGCATACTTAAATGAGCTTTTACACGGAGATAGCCGCAATAGTAAACACTTTCAGGAGAATATCAGATCTTATAACAGTATGTTTGGCTTTACTTCATTGGGCGGGAAGATTGATGCAGGGATCAACAATGGTACAGGTCCTCCGGTATTCACTCTACACGGCCAAAACTATCATCTGATTGGTAGTCTACTCCCATCCGAAGGTGCAACTCCAAAATTTGCGCAGCTTTATATCTATGATACGGATAATGAATTATCCAATAGAATGAACGCAGTCAGGTTAGTAATTTGCGTAAAAGATTATGAGTTTATTTATAATTTTTTAATTTTCAGTCTATAGTCTGCTCAATAATTTTTTCCATCACATATTTGTGGATCTAATTACGAAATTAATTTTTTTTTCTTATAGGAGTTTTGACAGTACTTCAAATTTGCATGAGGAAATTGTTGCTCGCTTGACAACAATGTTAGACGAGCACAATCAACTGGTTAAGTCGTTTCGTATGGCTAGGGAAAGAATTCAACAACACGGTCAAAGTGATGTGAAGATTCGTCTAATTGGAAGGAGACATAGCGATGGTAGATGTTATAACTTGCCTACAAGCTCTGAAGTTGCTGCCTTGGTCGTTGGAGATTTTGATCAAGCAATGGGTGAAAGGGATATATTGGTTGAGACCAAAAGTGGACGCCTACGGAGAATCAATGAACTTAATGCTTCCTATTTGGCTTTACAATATCCCCTATTGTTGCCTTATGGGGAGGATGGGTACAGAGAAGACATCCCATTTTCTGATCTGAGAGAAGTAAAAGAGGATGGTCGAACAACTGTGAGTATCAGGGAATATTTTGCTTATCGAATCCATGATAGGGAGCACGAACCGTCTACTATTCTTTCGGCCAGGAGACTGTTTCAACAATTTATCGTTGATGCATATACCATGGTTGAATCATCGAGGTTGAGATATATCCGTTACAATCAAACTCGCCTACGATGTGACATGTACAATGGGCTAGCGGATGCTGTTCTTCGTGGTGATATCGATCCAGGATCTAGAGGAAAGAGAATAATTCTACCTTCGTCTTTCACTGGGGGGGCTCGGAATATGATTCAGAACTATCAGGATGCAATGGCGATATGCAGATGGGCAGGTTATCCCGATTTGTTTATAACATTCACATGCAACCCAAAGTGGCCGGAGATCCTTCGCTTTTTAGGCCCAAAGAACTTACGTCCTGAAGATCGTTCCGATATCGTTTGCAGAGTTTTTAGATCAAAATTAAAGCAGTTGATACGGGATTTTCGTGAGAAACAAATATTTGGTAAAGTAATAGCAGGTACGATCATTCTTTTCCAAAATTTTATTTTATTTGAATTCTTTTACAGATATATTCATAATTGTTTGACATTCTATTCTTTTTTGTTTTCAGTTGTATACACTGTTGAATTTCAAAAACGCGGATTGCCTCATGCCCATATACTTCTTTTTTTAGCAAAAGAAAACAAGTTTCCCGATCCAACGGACATAGATAGAATTATCTCTGCTGAGATACCTGATGAGTCTTCTGATCCTTCTTATTATGAAGCTGTAAAAGAACACATGATCCACGGCCCGTGTGGATTGGCCAGAAAGCAATCTCCGTGCATGGTTGATGGAAAATGCAGTAAACGTTTTCCAAAACCATTTCTTGAATTCACGACTGTCGATGATGATGGCTATCCGCGGTATAGGCGTCGGGATAATGGAAGACATATGGAGAAAAATGGTGTAGTTGTCCATAACGGTTTTGTCGTGCCCCACAATCGGAAATTGTTGATGAAATATTGTGCTCACATAAATGTTGAGTGGTGCAATCAGTCCCGGTCCATCAAGTACCTCTTCAAATATGTCAATAAGGGCAATGATCGTGTCACCACATCGTTTTATCAGGCGACCGGAGACGGAGAGCCGGATAAGCCTGTTGACGAGATTAACATGTTCTACGACTGTAGATATGTTTCTTCATGTGAGGCGGCTTGGAGGTTGTTGGGTTATGAACTCCAGTACAAAAAACCTCTTGTACAGCGTTTGAGTTTCCATTTGAAAGGCGAACAGTACGTTATTTTTGAGGATGACGATCGGATTGATGAGGTTATTCAAAAACCCACTGTAAATGAGAGTCAATTTTTGGCATGGATGGAAGCGAACAAGAAGTATCCTGAGGCGAGGGAGCTCACTTATGTTGAGGCACCAAGAAAATTTGTTTGGAACCCGACGTTGAGAGAGTGGACCCCTCGAATCAGAGATGGCGCTATAGGCCGCCTGCGCTATGTTCCTCCTAACGCGGGCGATAATTTCTATTTGAGGTGCATGCTTAATGTAACTCGGGGAGCAACTTGCCACGAGGATTATATGAAGGTAGCCAACGTTCAATATTTGTCGTATCGTGATGCTTGCCACGCTCTAGGTTTGTTGGGTGACGATCGTGAGTACGTTGATGGCATATCTGAGGCAAGTCAATGGGCATCTGCTGATTCCCTCAGACGCATGTTTGCAACGTTGTTGGTTTCTGGATCGTTAGGTAGACCCGAGCACGTATGGGAACAGTGTTTGGATTTTCTCTCTGATGACATCGTTTATAGACAACGTCTTCTCTTCAATAATGAAAGTATGTGACTTATTTTTTATTTATGTTTTATTGTTTATTTTATTATTTTTCATTTGCTTTTTAAGTACTATAGTCGATTTTTTATAAAATTCTGACTTTGAATTTTTTTTCCTTCTTAGGTTTGCAGCTGAGTGATGCAGATATAAAAAATTTAGCTCTCGCTGAAATTGAACATTTGTTGAGACGTCGCGGCACGAGTCTTCGGGAATATCCAACAATGCCTTTTCCTGATATGACCGGTGTTACTACGAATACAAATCGATTGATTTTGGATGAGCTAAATTATGACCGCAAGGCCTTATCAGTCGAGCACAGTAATCTTCTTAGAAATATGACTGACGAACAGAAAGGAGTTTATTCAAGAATTATGACAGCGGTAGACTCAGGTCAGGGCGGTGTTTTCTTTGTCTACGGTTATGGCGGAACCGGTAAGACGTACTTGTGGCGGACATTAGCTGCGGCATTGCGATCGAAGGGTCAGATCGTCCTTTGTGTTGCATCGAGTGGAATAGCTTCTCTTCTATTGCCTGGTGGAAGAACTGCACACTCTCGCTTTGGCATACCTATTAATCTTCACGAAAATGCGTCCTGTGATATCAACCAGGCTAGCCCTCTGGCAGAGCTAATTATACGGTCTTCCCTCATCATATGGGACGAAGCTCCAATGATGCATAAGCATTGCTTCGAAGCTGTTCAAACGTCATTTCAGGCGATCATGGGAACGGTCAACCCGAACAACAATTATAGACCATTTGGTGGAAAGACTGTTGTTTTTGGCGGAGATTTTCGACAAATCCTCCCGGTGATTCCAAAGGGGAACTGTCAACAGATTGTTAATGCTTCAATAAATGCTTCAACCATTTGGCAAGACTGTACTGTGCTTAGGCTGACGAAGAACATGCGTCTTCAGAGCCTTGATGATTCGGATGAACGTGAGGAGCTTTCTAAATTTGCTGATTGGATTGCTAGCATCGGAGATGGTACTATTGGAGGTGTTAACGATGGTTGTGCCTCCATTGAAATACCATATGATCTATTAATAGACCCATCCGATGATCCCATTGCTGCAATTGTTGAGAGCACGTATCCAATGTTCAAGAATGCAACAGATGATCCAAGTTATCTGAAGGACAGAGCCATTCTTGCACCTACGTTGGAGATCGTTGAGTCTATCAACCAATACATGTCGTCGTTGAATCTAACAGAAGGTCGTGTATATTTGAGCTCCGACAGTACGTGTAAATCCGATTTGAATTCTGACTTCTTGTCAGAAATCCACACTCCTGAGTTCTTAAATTCTCTCAAATGTTCTGGTACACCAAATCACGAGTTGCATTTGAAGGTTGGAACTCCGGTTATGCTGTTGCGGAACATGGATCATTCTATGGGATTGTGTAACGGGACACGTTTGGTTGTAACAAGACTCTCCAATCATGTCCTAGAATGTAGGATACTTACAGGCGATCATGCTGGGGATAAAGTGTTGATACCTCGAATGACGATAACTCCCTCGGATGCAAGAGTACCTTTTAAGTTTCAACGAAGGCAGTTCCCTATCGTGGTTTCTTATGCAATGACTATTAACAAGAGCCAGGGTCAATCCTTATCACACGTTGGTTTATTCTTGAAGAAACCAGTTTTCAGTCATGGCCAATTATATGTTGCTGTTTCGCGCGTCACCAACAGAAGCGGTCTGAAAATTCTAATATGTGGTGAACATGATTTGCCCCCAAATCAAACAAATAATGTTGTGTACAGAGAAGTTTTTAATAATATATGATTTCTTTTTTATTTTTATTTTTTTTCTATAATTAGATGTTAAATTGAATTAATTATATTTAAAATAAGTACTTTAATATGTTTTAAATTACGCGCCCACCGTGCATCGCACGGGTACATACTAGTTTTATTATAAACGAAAATATAATTAAGAAAATATAAATAAAATAAAGATTTAAATTATTTTGTTTTTTTATAAAAAGGATAATTATTTGCATAGCATGTCTGCCTTCAGATTAGGGAAAAAGTTCTCATTTTTCGACCAAGGCAAATATTGACGATTCAAAACCCTAGCTTGCTGCATTTGCACAGGAGAATCGACAATGGCGGGCATGGGCGATGGCTACGTGGGCACGGCGCAGGACGCCGTCCGAATCCGACGGCTGGAGAAGCAGAGAGAGGCCGAGCGCCGCAAGATCCAAGAGCTCAAGAACAAAACCGCCTCTTCGAAAGGCCAACCGGGACTCCTCCAATTCGGCTCCAGCACGTCTGAGGTAGCATTTTTTGTGCTTTTTATAGCCTTGAAAGTGTTGAATTCGTTTTTAGAGTGTATCGATTTAGCTCTGTTAGCAGACAATTAGGGTTTCTAATGTGCACGAATATAAGCGATATTTCGTTTGCCTGGCTTTTGTTGTTTAACATGATCATACAAATGAAAAATATGACTTGTAGTGATGCAAGAAGTTCAAAATCAGTTCATAATTTGTCTGAATTAGTTCTCACAGAAATGATATCAATATATTAAGATTGGTTCTCTTCAATTGATTGCGGATATGATTTACACTTTATGTACAGTAGCAGTATTGTTGGCATCTTCTGGATGCTGCTACTTTATTTGATTTTGAGTCGTAATGTTGCTGCTTAGATTCTCGAGACTGCATTCAAGAAGGAAACAGTTGGTCTTGTCACAAGAGAAGAATACGTGGAGAAGGTACTTCTGTCTTCTTATTTTGGCAATCTTCAAACCTCATCCAGTTTCTGCACCCAAAAGTTAATATCGGGTTCGTTTTGCAGAGGGTGAATATTAAAAACAAAATTGAAGAGGAAGAGAAGGAGAAACTTCTTAAGCTGCAAAAAGAGTGAGTGATTGTTTCTTCTTTTACATGTTGCTTTGGTATTTGTAGTTATAAATTTTTATTGGTTTCTTCTGTGTGATATTTTATTTTATTTCTTCTTGTTGCTTTGGTATTTGTAGTTACTAATGTTGATTGGTTTCTTATGTGTGATATTTTGTTTTATCTCTTCTTGTTTCAGGGAGGAAGAACTTCAGCTGCAGAAATTGAAAAAGCGGAAAATAAAGGCAGATCCTCGATTATCGTTTGCTGATGATTTTGAAGTGGAGAATGAGGAAGATGACGAAAATAGTAAGCGTGACTTAGTTTGTATTTTCTGTTGTTTGTATTTCTTGTTTTATCTCTTAGTTTGTATTTCTTGTTTTATCTCTTAGTTTGTATTTTGTTTTATCTCTTCTTGTTTTATCTCTTAGTTTGTACTTTCTAGTAAATTTGTTAGTGTATGTGTTCATCTGCAAGCATTTAAAATGAAAAACCTTTCTAATGTTCCATTATTATTAAAAATTATAAGAGTTTTGTTCCTTCATTACTTTGTGGTTATATTTGTCTTAAAACCATTCAGAAAAGTTGTTCTGTGAACTCTGAATCTGCCTGCTATATTTTGCATACCATGTCCTAGAGATCTTAGCTTTTCTTTGATTTTTCCTCAATGAAGCACAACCTTCTGTAGAAGAGAGTGAAATGAAGAATCATTAAATGTTGCATTCCCTATTTGACCATTAATTTTTGTTTTTTGTCTATGAAGATGATGAGGAATCCGAAAGGCTTCGCCGCCGAAAGTTTGGGAAACTTGGGAAAGACCCTACTGTTGAGACCAGCTTTTTACCTGATAGGTGTGGCATCTCTTCCTTTCCCTTTAATGCTCACATATTTGTTTCTCTATATTCGTGATGCGTGTTGCATGTTTTTTTGTTTTCCTTCCGTTTGGATTATTCGCCCATACTTTTCTATTTTTTACTTATTCTTGGCCTTTGGAGGTTGAAGCACACTCTTACAGTGAGAGGGAGGCAGAGGAACAGGCTGAACGTGAAAGATTGCGCAAACAGTGGCTTCTTGAGCAGGCGCAAATTAAAAGTTAGTCATAAAATCTAACATGCTAATGAGTATCTTTTTCATAGTATGCATCTTTGATGTCAACGCCTGCTTCTGCTGTATTTCTTCAGATGAGCCTCTTCAAATCACTTACAGCTACTGGGATGGTACTGGCCATCGACGTGCTATCCAGGTAATAACCTTTTTGTCTTCCATTTTATGTTTTTACTTTTATTTTTATTATATATTTTTTTATTAATTATATGGATCACCTAAGTTTATGCATATCTGTTATGTCTAAGTACTTTTGTGGACTTCTTTGTTCGACCGTTACATATCAGGTTCGGAAAGGTGATTCTATTGGGGAGTTCCTCCGTGCTGTTCAGCAGCAGCTTGCTCCCGAGTTTCGAGAGGTTCGGACTACTTCTGTGGAGAATCTGCTCTATGTGAAAGAAGATCTCATCATTCCACATGTAAGACCTCCTTCTATTTTTATGGAAGTATTATTTTCTGCTCCTTGTTGAATCTTGTGTACTTTGTTCCTAAAGGAATTACTTTCATTCTTCTGCTCTATCTTACAGCAACACAGTTTCTATGAGCTGATTGTGAACAAAGCTAGAGGGAAAAGTGGACCGGTAATACCCTCTGTTCTTCGACTATTTTCACTTTGAATGATGATATATGTTAAGAGCTTTATTGACCATTATTTGAATGTATCATTGCATCATTTCTCTTTCCACCTTTACTTGGTTGTGAGGTTCTGTTACTTTCGAAAGTGGTTCTCTATTCTATGCTACGGGATTACTTCTATTGTTCGAGAAACATTTATATTATTTTCGAGACAATTATTGAATATTTAAATGAAGTAATTTATTTTTAGTGTTGTTGGTTTACTTATTCATGGTAGAGTGGATATACAAACTTTTGTGTGATTTTCTGTTGGAATAATGATGAAGGAAACTTGGTCTAACTCTTCCAGTTACTCTTTTTTTGGTTCTCTCAACAGCTTTTCCACTTTGATGTGCATGAGGATGTTCGAACCATTGCAGATGCAACAATAGAGAAAGATGAGGTAAGGACCTTTACCCTGTTCGATATTAGTGTCTATTATGAAGTGGTAAATTGTTGATTGGGTTAGGTTCGAGAGGGATTTTGAGTTTGTATTAAAATAATATTTCAAATATATTGATTAAAATGTTGATTTGATATAAAAGTAGGAGATAGATAATTAGAAGTGATGAGTAGTTAAAATTATGTGAGTGGTTGAATAATGAATTAAATTGATGTTGTGTGTGGGGATGATTGATTGATATTTTATTTAATTACATTGATAATATTGAGGTGAGTTGAGTTGAGTTAAACTTGAGTTAGATTTCGAGTTGGAAAAAAAAAATTATTATCTTATAAAGAATCAGGTTTGAAAGTTAGGTCTGAGTCCCCTACATCTTTGTTTACATGATAGCTTGCATATAGTTATTACCTAACTAATATCGGGTAATTTTTCTCTCTCTTTCACACACACACACACATGCGTACTCATTTATCATTTTGCTCTTCGGATTATCTCATCAAATATCAACTATTGTTTTAGTTTCTATTTAGCCTTTCTCATCTCTGGTTATGCTAGCATCTTTACCTAATGCAGCACTGGTTTTCTTTCAGCTTCACTTTGATGTTTGTATGATTTGAATTTTTGTTAAGACATTGTAAGAACAATTAGCTGGTTTAATTTAATCTTGCGTTATTTTACAGTCACATGCTGGTAAGGTTGTGGAGAGGCATTGGTATGAGAAGAACAAACACATATTTCCAGCATCGAGATGGGAGGTACACATTCACTATCTCCGA